TGTGTTAATGATGCAATGTGCATGGTCAAATGCGTGAGGCTGTGTGTGTACTAACATCTGTCAGTGTCATTTAGATGTGTGCGTACATGCAGATGTGCAGATGCATTTGTCTCTTCACCTCTTGAGTAATGAACAGCTGTTAATTGCCTCCCCATCATGTGGAGGAGACAGAGGTTAAGGTTGTCAAAGTCTGTTAATAATTACTCTCAGTGCTGGTGGGGTCTTTGGCGCTAAAAGGTTGGAGGACAATTCATTTAATATAATGAAACTTGTGAATAATAATAATAATGACTTGAGAAAATGACCTCTGCTCTATACTGCCTGGATTTGTATTTCCTGCTGGCACCTGTTTCCATGAAAACCACCTGTGTCTTCCAAAAAATATCAGTTTAGGTGTTAACTATGTGTTTGCTATAGACTTTCAGTGGTTAAATACATGCAAATTGATCTTATAAACGATCCAGAATAACAGGATGACAAAAGTTGACTGCAGCGTTGCCCTCGGGTCATCTGGGAACATGACAGCATTTTAAATAAAACAGCTAAACATGAAGTCAAACTCACATTGTCGTGGCAGGTTTTGTCAAACTGATAAAGTGGAGCATTTGAACTTGACTGATGTAATATCACTAACATAAATCATCTCAGTGAAAAAGTAGAATAAAGTATCGCTCTGTCAGTATTGAAGTTAGATTTATAAACCTGGCATCTCCTCTGCAGATTAAAAAGGCATTTTTTTAGCACTTTAGGCTCTGCGGTCTGGCACCCAATGGTGGTCTTTGCTTTCAACATTATCTTTCACAATTTCTCCTCAGAGTTGCTACAGAGAAAGCACCGCTAGAGGAAAAACTGGAAAGCAAGAGGGACTTTTATGAAGCCAGGATTCAATAATTACTTTCCTCTTGTCTCACGCAAGTGACAGATGGTGGGGCCACCAGAGGCCTGAAGATGGGAATAATATTGTTGATTAAAAAGAAATATAGGAAACAACATGCAGCTGTTGGCTGCAAGACAGAGGCGGGAAGAAAAAAAGAAAGAGGGAAGAAAGAAAGAATAGGAAAAGATCGAGCTCAGAAACAAATGACACAATTACACATGGCTGATGTGCACACATTACAATTGGAGGCTGTTTGAACTGCTGATGTGAAGTTTTGTGAAGAGATCTTTACTGTTTGACTGATTTATTCTGGGTGAGTCCTGAGGGATTGGGAGTTGTGTTCCAGATATTTATGAAAGTTGTTATTTATATGGCTCTGCGCAGTCTGGTGCTCAGACCACCCTTCAAACATGAACTCCCACCTGCATATGTTAAGTACGGTACCTCTTTGTGTTTGTATGCAAGTGTGACAATGAAAAGGCTAATGATTTTTTAAGACCGGCCAAGATTCAGACACACTGAAAAATACCAATATCTTCTGCGATGTGTGCATGAGCTTGTAAGTGAGGGGGTAATTGTTTCCCAGAGCTCTTTGCTTGTATCAGGGGAAATTTAACACTTTTAATGGCAAATGCTGATGCTGAGCTTGCATCCTTCTGCTACAAGCATCAAAGCATGGAATCACATTGCCAAGCCACTTTTGCATAGATTAATATAATAGTTGTCTTTCCAAGACATGTTTCAAGGAGAGAAAACTCAACCGCCAAACAAAATAGTATGTCTTTCCGTTCACAATTTGTATAAGTGACTTAAATTCTGTTTTGTGTTTTGGTTATCAATCTAATTTATTTCCCTTAACACAAATGGAAAAAGAAGGGAACTACATGTTTAACAAAATGTATGAAAAAATGTACACTCAAATACTGAGTATTATACAATTTGGTTATTTTATATTGAAGTAAGTTTCAGTGAAATGACCACCCAGTTAGTTTTTTTTGTGGTTTAGGTTTTATGGTTTTGTCACTGTAACATTATCTTTCCTGTGAACTACTGAACACAAAGGAAACAATAAATAAACTCCACAGCCACAATTTAATGACAAAAATCCTTTGCATTATCCTGTTTTACCTGAAAAAGTAATGGCCTAAGACTGCATGTAACCCAAGCTATCATGTTTATCATTTATGGAATAATAACTATGCACATGAGGTGTCAGCTGTGTTGTGCATTGACTGGATAAGAAGCAAAATAAGCCAGTGTGATCAGAGGGGGGATTGAATGAGATTAAAAGATTTAAGGCTCCATTTGTCCATGAATATCTGATGCATATCTGAGGCGAGAGGCAGTGATCCTCTGTCAGGTTGACGGGGGTGTCGGAGGAAATCTACCTTATCTGCATCTGGCCACTTTTCAACAGTTTCGTATCTGCATGTGCGGCCACATTCCTTTTGTGCCAAATAGTTAGACAGCAGCTGTTAGCATGAAATAAAAATTAGCTTCTTCTCATCCAAAATCTTTGGCGCCTTCGGTTTTCTTTTTTCTCCCACTGAGTCAAAATACAGTAAGTGATTCATGCTTCAAACAAAAAGCCAACACTGTTCCACATTGAAGACTGCCAATACAAGCAGATACTGAACAATTGTTTCGCTCAGACATGCTGAAAGCTCCTTAGCACAACTCCATATAGGCTATGTCAGCAAAAAAACACCAGACATCAAGTTGTGAAATGACCTCAGTCATATTATTACACTCAAGCAGCCATGGAAAACATTTAAACATTACCCAATGAACTAAAGAACTGAAACATATTCAGAGTTTAAATTCAAGTTTCATTCTTGACACACACACACACACACACACACACACACACACACAAAATTAAGACTAGGCTACATAACATCAAGTTATGTAGCCTAGCCTAACAATCGGTCATTTTGCATTGTTTGTACAAATTACAGAAATGTTTGAATTGAAAATGTTTCACTTCTAGAGAGCCCATGGTGAAATATGGTTGTTTGCATGTATTAATAGACTGTAAATATTGTATTAACTGGTAATCATTTATTTTTATCTTAATATTTGTGCTGTAGCCTATTTGGTGAAAATTAGAGATTGAAATAAACACAATGCCTTAATTTGGTTTAGGCCTAATGAACCAACTTGAGGTGGGAACAAATCACACTGTCAATCACTCAATACAAAAAAAAGCTCATACATGTTATTTATACCCAGAAACCTACAGACCAAATGTACTTTTCCCAATTGCCAATAATATCTTAGAAAGGGTAACCATTACTAAATTTCTTGGAATTCTCCTAGATGAAAATCTCACCTGGAAAAATCATATAGGCCTAACACTTATCTCAGGCAAAATAGCAAAAAATATTGGAGTCATCAGAAGAATAATGCATCTGTTATCAAGAAAAATCCTTCTTAATTTATATTACCCTATGATCTATCCATACATCTCATACTGTAACATTGTTTGGGCTAGCACTTTACCTCAACTGCATTTTTCTCTGCAAAAAACGGTTCATCAAAATGATCACTTTCTCCAACAGATTTAGCAGCTCTACTCCTTTGTTCCAGTCCCTACGAATTCTCCCCATCTTCCACCTAAACCAGTTTCAGATATTTTGTTTTCCAATCAGTCAACAACTTACTCCCCATCTGTTTTCAAGATATATTTCAATTCAATTCTCAAATCCATCATTACAACACAAGGTCAGCCAGCTTACTTCATTCTGCATTTTTCAGGACATCGTTTTCTCAATTCTCCATCAGATTCAGAGGACCTCATTGTTGGAACAATTTACCCAATCATATTAGAAACAGCACCAGCCTCAACTTATTTAAAAAACAAACCATTTATTTCCTGCTTGGCCAATTAACCAATGTGCCATCATAATCTTTCTCTGCCACAAGAGCTTATTTTCCATTTTCCCCTCTTCTTTAATTTGTCTCTTTCTTGTTTTGCTTTCTTTTACACCTTATTGAGTACGTGTTCTTGTTAGCTTCATTGTTTTTGCTTGGACTACATTAATAGTTTGTCTCTGTGTTACATGTTTCTCTTTAGGAGGGCCACACAAGCCCCTCTGGGTTTATTTGGCTCCTCCAGCACATTTCTTTCAAAATGTACAGTTTGTTAATTAACTAATCATTATGTACTGTCTGTTTTTCCATTGATCTATTATGTTTATGTTTTTGTTTTTTTTGTGCAATAAATAAAAAAAAAAAAAAAAAATACTTACCATAGAAACAACAGCACTCCACGGCTCCCCCTGCTAGTCAGCAGCAAACCACATGTAAGGAAGTAGCTTACCTTGCTGTGTATTAATGCAGGTCGTCCTCCTCCTCGTCGCTTTTTCACCTCCATGTTTGGTGATACAATGTCCTCCGTTCCTCATGTAAGCGTTGTTTTGGTTCGTCATTTAATATTTACAATCTTTGGTTCGTCCACACAAACATCAGACTTTCTCTCTCTGTTGCAATAACCAATTAACACAGTTTATATTAAGCGCTTCAGTTTTAACACGCGTCAAAGTACGAACTTGTACAAACTAGAAACAGTGTAAATACCTAATGTATTTTTTTTGTTGTTTAACTCAAAATCTGACTTTAAATGCTGCCAACCAATTATTGTTTCAAAAACCAGCAGCAAAGTCAACGGTCACGCGTCACGGTTACGTCATTACGTTATTGAAAGGTGGGATGGAGGCAAGAGTAGGCTTTAAATGCAGGATTGAGTTTTTGGAAATCATATCTGGGTGAGAAAACGACAGATTTGACATAATGACAAATGGACAGTTGGAAATCCTGTCATGTGTGAACATGACATCGCATGCCAAATTCCTTTAGTCAATAGAGATTTTAATAGGGAACAGTAGGCTACAATGTTTTTTTTGGGGGTATAGCAGCACATTTTCACAGCTCCTCCCACCCTTTTAGGGCCAATGACATCTAAACATCTCCTCCAGCTGCACCAACAGTTCATTCCTTATCAATTTAAGTGAGTTCATTGTGGAGTGTCAAAGAGTGCAGAGAAAAGGTGTATTGTGCTAAATTTCGTGGTGGGACGCGGAGCAGGGATGCAAAAGGTAGGTTCCCTCCCCCATGGGTGTGTCCACTACTACCGGAGGATCTCAGTGTATCCACCTGCAGAAGCCGCTTCCCAGCTCTACACACTTGAGCGTCGCTTGCGCACGGGAGAAGCTGGGCTGTTACTCGTCTCCAGGAACAACTCTTTGTTTCTAACCTCCTTCAGTGGGAAATACGGACTCTTTTGATGCGATTTAGAGCTCACTTCAAGTTAAAGCGGCCGTGTCAAGTTAATTTAAATCCAAGCTTTGTTTGGCTGTGGGATAATCGTGCAGGATCTGCCGCGGATACACTGATACTCCAGCGTGCGGACGGAGGAGCTCAAAGGATCTGGGTGGATGGTTTTAAATGTTTAACAGCTTCATCACCACAGTATTCACTGGACGTAACTAAAGGGTAGGTCATAAATGAAGTGCTTAATTTATAGGGTTGCCTTCATGGCCAGTCAAATTTTATACATTCAGGCTATTCAGACTGATGTGATCCTAATTCAACAAGGAACCACATTTGTAGAATCGAGGATACATGAGTGATGAATGAGCTGAATATGATAGAAAAAGGCTCTGATATGTTTTTTAAAGTTCTGATGTCTTTTTTATTTATTTATTTTTTGCCCTGACTATTTTCAGTATTTAATGTATTAAAATAAGAGCCTAGTTTTGTGCGTATTCCCTTGCGCGTGGGATGTAGTTTTAGTTCCCTCATATGCGTTTGAGTTTCATAGAGTTTTTGCTGTATGTGATGCTCTTTTTCAAAGATCTGCCATGCACAGCGATGTCGTTTATATAAGAAGCCCTCTGTGCCACTTTTCACAATTTAGAGTCCTAGGTAGGTCTCATAAATGTCACGTGGTTCATGTTCATGCCCTCATAACTCGAAGCTCAGTCGTCACGCTTTATTTTGGTGAACGGTCTTGCTTTGGAGTTGTGCCCTCAGAGCTCAACGTGGAACTTGATCTTAAACCCTGACTGTCAGTTTGACCTCAGATTCAGACCCACGTTTACGAGCAGATCAGTGCAGTGCATGGATAATCACAGCAGAACAGTATCGCCTATGTGTTGTACTGTACCCAAACGTGGCACACTTCTTTCTTTGGTTTTTACGCACAATTGTGGCTCATTTCAGTCGCGCTGATGACCTGGATTTCTGTCGATAATTTTATGGGGATATTATTAACTTCTGCTCTCTTTGTTACTCTTGAAGCATGTTGATGCGCCTTGTGTGCACAGCCAGAGCGCACAGAGCAACTCCTGTACTGCTTGTAAAATTGCTTCTGCTGTATTACTGACGAGGTATTTGCGAAACTATTTTGCATGAGATAGAATATATACTATTATGCGTTGTTTGCACAAGAGCTGAGGGTTGAGAGAGAGTGGCTTGGCTCTCAGCTGGATGGAGACTCCCTCCATTCACTGTTTCCCTGGTTGTACACAGAAGCAGACAGAGGCAAGAATAATTGTGGGCGGTTAGGAAACGCACAGTAAAATGAGAGACCAAGCAGAAACCACGGAAGCAATGATGACATTTCAATTCTGAACTATAGTTGAGTTTCTTCCCAGACTCCTACTACCCTCTGCTTTTCTGCTTCAGGTAACTTGGCATATATTGCACACCATAATGAAATTTAACAATTGTTACATGAAACAGATCCCATCTTGTTTGTATTTATTTATATCTTGTCTGGTTTTGGTTTAAGAGTCACTGTTCTAAGAATTTTCTATTTATCATGGTAAGAAAGGAAACGGGTCTATTGTTGCAGCTCAGTGGTTGTAAACTGGTCTTTGCAGATGGTTTCTGAGGTGGAAGTTCAAGCCCATTGTCTGATGTGCATCCCTCTGTGTCCCTCAGCTCCTGTGCTCTTCCTCCTCTCCTCTGTTAACACACAGAGGGATAATGTGGGACAAACTGTGCTGGCTGCTGGCCCTGCTGGCCCTAACGTCTGGGGCTTTGCCGTCCTCCAACGAGCCCCTGTCTGCTCCCAGGATTTTCCTCTCCTTCAAAGGTAAGACACTCACAACACTATGATCCGCTTTATTCAGTTTTTGTGTTTCTTTGCAGACAAGTTGATTTGATCAGGGAGTAATAGTCTCTTTTAGTGTTTTATTTCTCTCTCTTGTTTTATAACTGGAATGGGTAAACTATTGGCACTAGCTGAATTCAGGACTTGGCATATATTCCCTCCCTGCTTCACAGAGAGTTTGATTGTGTGTGGATGAGGGATGAGGAGATGTGCTGCTGAACATTCAGGGTCAGAGAATGTGTCTTCATTTAATCGCCTGGCTGCCATCAGTTGCCTAAACAGGCCATTGTGTGGCCTCGGCTTCCTTCTGAAATCAAGTCAGATTTAACACTTGGCTGGACACACACTCAAGGCACAGATCCAGGATGTTATGAATGTTTGCCGGTGCCACATGAGACCCTGTGTGTGCATTGAACTGTCTTGTTAAAATAGGTCTGAACGATGTAGTCTCCTGAGCTTTGTCATTGGAGGGCTGGTGTAGCCATTGTGTCCATGTAAAGCTTTTATAGAAGTTTTTATTGCAACTGTTTCCTATGAGTACGCCTGTGAGTGTAATTAAATATGCGTGGAATTAGAAGCATTATGAACATTAGTAGCATTATTAAATAGGAACTGTCTTTTCTGGAAATCATTGAAAATTGGATTTGAATAATCCTAACTGTTTATATTTTAAAGAAGTCGCATAGTTAGTCCTGAAATGGCAGAACTTATTTGTGCTAATTTGTTGCTCCCGCCCTTTTTTTCTTCTTCTTATTTTTGCCAAATTAGCTTTTTTTTGCTGCTTCTCAGATATGCCACTTACCTGTTTTCCCCCTTAAAATCCCATCTCTTTCTCCCCATCTCTAATAGAGTTGGATTTCACCCTCTACTGGTCTCACATTGACTTGTTAGAAAAGGGTTCATTTTTTTTCTGCTGCTTTTAATTGAGTTTCTTTTTGTTTTTAATTAGTTTCTGGGCTTACTTTATGCCTCACGGAGCAACTTCAGATAGCTGGAGACTAGAAATGCACCTTGGCTTTGCATTTGCTAATTGTATTGGTGTTGCACCGTACTGCTGGGAATAGCTCTGTAATGTGCTTTTATTAATTATTTATGTGGCCGTGAACTTAACCAAATAATAGGTTTTAGCTTCCCATGATATCTGTCTTGTGGTGGCTTACAGATTGGTTGTAATAAGAAAAAAATCCATCTGATATTTAATGAGCTTTTATATTTAGATTATAAAAGAAAACAAGCTTCAAGTGTAGGCGGCCAATTCTAGCAACTGTTAGAATGCATCTTTGTTGATTTGGCTTCTGTCTGTGACCCAGCCTCTCTTGTTTTTTCATAAAGGTTACACACTATCACTTCCCACTGATTATTTGCATTTTATAAAGCAGGGAGAGAAGATTTTGCTGCTTTTGGCGGAAATCCAACATTTTGACACAAGAGAACCAACCCTTTGTCTTTCCTTTTTAAATATTTGCTTTCTATCACAGCATCAGGCAACAGATTATATGCATACATACACACACATCTCTCTAAAGGAAAATGATAATATCCTGTTGGCATATATACAGTATTAGAGATGCATTTCAGTGTGACCATCTGCTATAAACGCTCCCCTTGAAATCACATTCTGCATACACTGAAATGTATTAATCTCTACATTTCCTGCCATTGAATTTAAACGCATATTTTCCTAAATCTCTTCAGACCTAAAAGCTATAGGATTATCATGTATAAAAAACTTTGTGAAAACAGATTGCATGTTAAATCACAGTGACAAACAAACAGCTTAAATTCCTGGCACACAGTCTGAAAGAAAATCCACCACCTTTTTCTTAAAATGGGAATTGTTTCTCTTTGTTCTCTAAATTTGATTAGTCAATTTCATAAGCCCCTTATTTAATCAATTGTATTGATTAAAATTTTGTAATTGCACAAACAAGCAGGATAAAAAAGACCTGTGGATCTGTTAAAACTAAAGTTAACCACAAACAGCCATGAGCAAGCTAAGCTGATAACTTCTTCTTTTGAGGTTCCCAAAGTAGCTACTGAGTGTGTTAGTGCAAGATGAGTTATCGACTGTGATAAGGACCAAGAAAGCAAACAGAGGCTAAGACCAAAGGAATGTCTACGCAAAGCTCGCAGGGATCATGAACCAGGACTTCAAAAGAGACACACTTAAAACAAAACACACACCCTAATGAATCTAACTTAACTTTGAGTGGTAAAAAAGTGTACAGTAAGATGTATTACTATATCTCTATTTATATATATATATATATATATATATATATATGAGAGAGAGATAATAAGAGCATCAAAGTTGAGATGACATAGAAAAACAAAAGGTCTTGTCTGTGTCTCCCCTCTCACAATGCCTGGAGGAGTCCGGCTCAGATCAGCTGTCTGAGAACTCCTATATTTACTTTCAAACAAGGTCTGTAATCACATGCTATTTTAGTGCGCAGGGCTCTGCGAGGTTGTGACCTCTTCAAACAGAAGCCATTCACACCAGAGGTTAACTGCCCTCAAACTGTGGGAGAATGGCACCATATTAACAAGTAATAGCTTGTTAAGATAATCCTCGGGCCCATTTGAAAGTGTTTAACTTTGTTTATACTCAGCCCCTTTGGTCCTCCGAGGAACACCTGGGTACAAGGTTAGCTCTGGGAAAAAAACCAGGCCGTCCTGTAATTGGACTAATTCTCACAATCTTAAGGTTACTCCAGCCTTTGCAGTTTTTCCATGTCAGTCTTTTTGTCCTGCGTAATGGGTTGATGATTGTCACGACCCAACAAAGAACTCACTATCGGTTCATCTCTCCTGACAGTTTTGAGGGTCAGGACCAGAAATGGTGACATGCCCTCGTCGTCTTTATTCCTATAATAATTACGGGCTGCTCCTGAGTTTGAACTTTACTGCAACAATAGACCTCATACCCCACAGATTATATTCTATAGACAGATTTATGTGTATACATAGTACATGAGAAGAGCCCTTTGTCTCCTTCAAGTCATTCCCCTCCGTAGGTGGTCTTGTTATTGTCCTTTTGACTTCTCTGCTGAGAGAAAGAATTACAGTCCTAATCATGGTATGAGTTGTGACTCCTCCTCAGATTGTTTGAAGGACACCAATGTTTTTATCTCCTTGTGACCTGTCTGCTCTCTCTGGTGTATGTAAATGTGACAAACCAGAGCCTAAGCCAAGAGTTACTGCAATCAGGTCTCAGCAAATCAATGAGCTGCTGAAAGCTATCTTGTCTGCTAGCCATTTAGGAGATCAAACATATACCTTTCCAGACAAGGTGGTCACCTGCAACAATCCCACACATTGTCTGATTGCTCTGATCTGTTTCCTTCAAACACAAGTAAACAGACTTTATTTTAGCCTACTGCTGTGATTGGCTTATCACCACAGAGCTTGCAAATGCTTCAAGTCTGCAAGTTCTCTCCCAAACCCTCCTGCTGTTCAGCCATAAAGTGATGTTACTAATTAGCCGTAACATCAGAACACATCACACATTATAGGGGCTTATATTAAATGCATCATTTGGGATTTTTAACATAATGAGACGTATAATTCACATGCTGTTTGTAAAGATCCATGGGAGATTCAGAAACGTGCATATTCATATTTATTTTCTTGGTCTGCTATTGTTTTCATTTTGTATACCACCACAGTGTGACCCATGAGCTGATGTCTAATCAACTGGCACTCTATGCATGGGCAAAGCCAAAAAACATTTACACCAAAACAACCCTAACCCTAACCCTAACCTTAAACATGCTGTTCAAAGTGTATTTAGAATATATTTGCTTTTCCTCATCTAGTACAGATACAGTTGTTATGTTACAAGAACTTATAAGGATAAGAGTTGATGACAACATGCAATTTTGGGGTCATTAAAGAGCACTATTGTTACAAGTTAAAGCTTAAATAATATAAATGACAAACAGAAGCTAAATTATCTTGAAGGAAACAACGAGCAGCGTGTTTATTGTTGCAAAACGCTGGTTTTCTAGTTTTTCAACAAAAGCAAGTACGCTTTTCACATCGGCTAAAGTCCACTGTGCACTGTTGAAACACTTTACTGCAATATCCAATCCACATCCTCTGTGTCTTTAGCTACCAGCTGTGCTTGTTTACTGCTTTCCCAGCAGATAATCATCATCAGTACATTAAGGGAACAAGTTTGTCACAGCCTCACTGTCTCTGTCCTACATGTATTCCAGTTCTGAGAAGTCATGGCAGGATGCTTTTATCTTTTGGTCACATCGCTGCTCTCTTGTACATACAGTACTCAGATGCAGCAAGCGTATGCATAACACGTGCAACATTGTACCTGTTGGCAAAATTCTGCGGTCCAGAACTCCCTCCCCTTTCCCTATTATCGCCATTAGAGAATGTCAGGGCACTGCAAAATGTTTCCACTGAGTAATGTGTGATGGCTGTGGCACGCAAGCCTGCAGCAATTATTACAATAGTTTGCTACTTTCTCCCTAGAGATGCTGCTGGGGGAGGAGAGGGGAGGAGAGGGGGGTGCATCCCAGCAACCTCTGCTCTGCAGGATGCATGCTGTCAAAGTCTGATTATTCAGGAGAGAGAAACAGAAGGCGACAGCTCCCCGTGCTAAATATAGTGTCCTTTCTGTCTGTTTCTTTCTCTTTTTTATCTCCCTCTCCTCCTCTGCCTTTACTCTACACTCACACCCTCTGTATTTGCTTGGTGATAAGAGGTTGGCAGTGTCAGGTGAGGCAGGAGAGCACCCAGTACACCGCCCACAGCTGGAGCGTGCTGTTTTAGCACACTCGAAAGGCGAAATGGGAGAGGGGGGTCTCTAAAGTGCCTGGACTTTCCTTTAGAAGAAGGCACACAACAGTGAGGCAGCAAAGGAATGTTTGAAAGAGGAGTGGGTGGACATGTGCAACAGAAAGGTTTTACATATTAGCTCAGTTAACGTGCGGAAAGTGAAGCGCTAGATTGCAGCATTGAAA